CACACACACACACACACACACACACACACACACACACACACACACACACACACACACACAGGAAGCAGAGTATAAACAGTTGTGTGTGTGTGTGTGTGGATGGTGAGTTCTGGGCTCGGAGACTTAAAGGTACACGCACTGGGAGGGGTCAGTGACACGGCTTCCAGTAGTACACTGACACCCTGGTGGACAGAAAGTACACGGCCTTGGTATTTCCTGGCTTTCAGAGCTGACTGTGACCGCAAATTCTGCGTGGGCCCTGCTTTAAAAGAATTCATGTTGCATTTTATTTCCTGCTAACAAACGTTGGCTGCTAGGCTGTTTGAGATTTGGTACAAAGTCAGGACAGAAAATGGCTCCTTGGGGACAAATTGCCTCCCACCAGCTCTTCCTTTACTGTCCTACACAAAATGGGTACAGAGACTATTTTAGTTCTTTTGCTGTTGCATAACATTGTGACCTTTGGTGGTGATTTCAACAGAACTTCTTAATTTTTTTCATTTCAAGTGTTTTGTARGTTATTTAAACAAATACTGTCATACACGAAGTTTGAAACCAAACTAAAAGCCAAGCTGAGATCCAGATATATTCCTTTAGATTTTAAACACTGAACAGGCTAAGATGGTTACAAGGACTGCATGCTGTAGTGACTTRTTTTTATTTTTGTAGATAAAGTCATTTGTGTTAGTTCAGATGTTTGTGATACAATTACATCTGTAGAGCAGACTTGTACTGCTGCAGATTTGGGATTCACAAATTTTTATTGCATCATTGTGTTGACGTTTTCTACTGTGGTTGAATGAAAAGTTGGCAAGGTTTGTTGCTAAGGATATCCACTAATAAATAAAGCAGACAATCTGAAACAGTTTGTTTAATTAATGAATGTAGACATTTTTTAAGTGTGCAACTCTTCTTCTGGTTGCAATTAACATGACACACAATAAAATTGCTCCACCTATGCGGTCATATGATCCAAGGTAAAGAAAACTCAGACAAACTGCACAGCTGTAATGGCAGATATTGTGAAACTGACAACATTATCAGAGACATTTAGTCAGGCATTTATTCAGAAAACATTTAGGAAAAGAATTTCTATAAAGTTATACATCAGTTCATTGAAGTTATTTGAAGAAAATCTTAGAGACTGAAGTTAAAACCCAAGGCTTCCTCAGCCAGATTAAAAATAAAACAGTACAATTAATTGGTGCTCACAGATAATGTACAGTAGATTCTTAAAACTTAAACTTGTGTTACTGCAGTTCATGTTTTCATGCAGTCATTGAGGAATCCATGGTTCCTTTAGTTAAATGTAGTTTGTACTAAGAGTGAACATTTCACATTACACAACCAGTTACATGTGTTAATCAGTTCATTGTTAACATGTAATAATCAGGGTTGCACATAAAATTTTTGGTCTGGTTCTCGGGAGAACCCAGGGTTGTTGCTTGGTGCTCATATTTTCCTTCACTCATTTAACACATTTATCTAGAGGGGCATCAGGGCATCTAACGCCCCCCTGTTCTGTTTTATGACTCCTATCAGCTGCAACGTCTCAGGACATCATGCCAAATCAGTCCAACAAGTTTTTTAATTTATTCTTTTACTCTGCATAAATTTTGTAAACTACCTAAGTGGCCGAGGGGCTGGGTGTATGTCATATAAACATCACAAACTGAACATTTCATGGTTAAATGTCTTTTAGACCAGTGGTTCCCAAACTTTTTGTCTTCTGACCCACAAAATATTCATGGCAAAATCTTGTGACCCAAAATATTACTGGTCTGAGTACACGGCTTTCGTTAATAACCCTAAAAACACAGGCTTTCTGACAATCTAAACAGCTTGTACACAAATATAAATACTTATTTTTACTTATTTTGTGCTTTTGTAATAATAATAGAGAAAAATATTACATCAGCAATTATTTTATTACCCTTTATACTGATTTCTGGAGATTATCCAAGGTACTTGATGACCCATAATTGGGTCCCAAGCCCAACTTTGGGAACCAAAGTGCACTGGTTCTCAAACTTTTCAGCTTTTGACCCACAAAATAACAGTAGCAGAGACCTGTGCCCCCAGCTAGTTTTGGATGATAAACATTTGTATCAGGTCAACAAAACATGGGCATAGTAACAATATTTTTATACTATATTTATCCATTTTAAATAAACTAACCTCACTCCTTTGTAACAACTATGGCAAAAACTCAGAAAATTTTTTCAGGACCCCACTTTGGGTCCCAACCCCAACTTTGGGAAACACTGTTTTAGACTAACATGTCCTTGAGATGGACAGCTCCTGTTTGGTCTTCTGGATCTTCAGCCTTGGTTAAACCAGCTTTCCACACTGTCCAGTCCAAGCAGCAAATATACTGGGTATCTGTCTTTTGCACAGAGCAAAATAACTTAAAACATACAAATGTTTTATTTGTTAGACTGATTTCTTTTTTAAAAGACTATTTTATTCAAAAATATAATATTATTTAGATGGTTTCAGCTCATGTAATTATTTTTCTTCATATTTGATCATTTAATAAATTACATTTATCTCAGAAAAGCTGTATCACAGTATGGTCCTAAATATAAACACGTTTAGCAAATCAAGAACCTTTTTTTTAATGTAAAATTGTGAATTCAATTTGTGGATCTTTATGATAAATTAAAATAAGATTTAAAACTCTTTCGCCTAGAGAACATGGCAAGTTGTTTTTATTTTTTAAGTATATATAATGTTTTTGACTGGGGTGTTAAACAGAGAATCATCTTTGCTTTAATATGGGGCAAACAAATGTTCTTAGTTAATGTGGTTTAATTAGAAGAACTCAGTGAATCTCACAGACAGCCTGTGCGCGCAGCGACGCACTCATACAGCAGTCTCTCAGGAGGAGAGTTTAGTCACTCACACAGAGTTGGACAGATCTGTTTGATAACAACATTCTGAATATATATTTAATATAAAGTTAGGTTTTACAGACCAAAGTCTCTGGTAGTTCAGGAGCAAAGTGCAGGAGGAGAGGTGGAGGAGATGTCAGACTGATCGCGTCGCTGCAGCAGCTCAAGTCGACTCTAGCCGGCCCGCTGCTTCAACCAAACTCGCTCTCACTGAAAGTCCCACCCTGCTCTGCTCTGATTGGATAAAACGGCTCTGGACTTCGTCTGATTTGTTGAAGACAGTGTCCGTTTAATCCCTATATCAGGGTCCCGCTGTGGCGCACCGAACGATCCATTCACACCAGTGCCACTGGATTCTTTTTAATTTTTTTTATTTTTTAACAAATCAGGTCGCTTTTGCGACCAAACTGGTTGCACTCTAGAGCCCTGCTAACTGTTGTTTTGACAGACAATCAGGTACAATCTTAGGTACGCAAGGGAGCTTTATGACGTTACATCTGCTGCGCTTTTTCCTTTTTTGACAGCACAAGCGCACCTGCGCACTGCTTATGTGCAGCTCTGGTAATAATCAAATGTGACCAGATGTTTCAACAGACAGTGTATCTACATACAAAACCAAMTGCATACAACTGTTAAATGTTACCCTTTCATGTAACTGTGTTAATTTCAATAAAATGTAACATATGAAGTCATGACTGTCAGTACATGGTAGATTTACTTGTGGTTACCTTCAGTAGGAATGGATCCTGTTGATTGAGGTGGAGGAGCCAAAWTGATTGGGAAAACCTAAAATTTAATTGTCACATACAACCCCAATTCCAGTGAAGTTCTGACGTTGTGTAAAATATACATAAAAACAGAATATTATGATTTGCAAATCATTTTAAACCTATATTAAATTGAATAAAGACAAGATACTTTATATTCAAAATTATACACTATGTTGTTTTTTGCAAATATTCACTCATTTTGAATTTGATGCCTGAAGCTTGTTCCAAAAAAAGCTGAGACAGGGACAACAAAAGACTGGGAAAGTTGAGGAATGCTCAAAAAACCACCTGTTTGGATCATTTCACAGGTGAGCAGGTTCATTGGAAACAAGTGAGTGTCATGATTGGGTATAAAGGGAGCATCCATGAAAGGTTCAGGCGTTCACTAACAATGTTGAGACGAGGTTCCTCACTTTGTGAGCAAAGAGTCCAACAGTTTAATGTTTCCAAACATACAGTTGTCTTTGTGTATTCAATTGAATATAGGTTGAAAAGGATTTGCAAATCATCGAATTCTGTTTTTATATGTATTGGAAATGGGGTTGTATTATGGACTTTTTTTGGTAATTAATAAATGTTTGTTAATACAATGTTTGCATTTGTTTACTGTAACTTCTAATYTTACAGGCTAATGCTTCATTTTATCATTTGCTTGTTTGATTGATTTTGCCTATATTTGTGTGTGTGTCTACACACACAAATATATTGAACATCTTCAACTGATTAGCTTTCATAGTCATTCCAAGTCAMTATGGCCGCCACAACCAAGTGCCCTAAGCCACAGCAGAAATTTGTTTAATAAGAATCAAACCTTGTATTTGTTTACTGTTTGATTTGTTTGTTTTATATAGTGAACAAAACACTCCTCCTTCATCACTATTCCATACATACATCCCTCTAACAGATACATTATTTAAAGACCAATATTTTTGGCTCTTTAAATTGTTCCTTTTTTAATGTTATTGGTCAGGACACCCATAAAACCATATTGTCTCAGTATTAGCATGCATCCTGCACATATACGTCTGAATTTTTAAAGGTGCATATTTTCATGCCAGGAAAATAAATAATCTTAACGTTCCCTGAATCAAATGTCTTACTTTATTCCTAGATTAAATAAAAATCTGGGGAAAGATTGCGTAAACAAAAACTTCCTCAGCATTTATTTTTTGTGTGTGTGTGACAGGAAATGGCTGTGCGGGCCCTGAAGCAGACGGGCAGCAGGAATATCGAAGCAGCCTTGGAATACATCAGTAAAATGGGTTACCTTGACCCTCACAATGAGCTCATTGTTCGTGTCATCAAACAAACTTCACCAGGTACTAAAAGACTTCAGCAAGGGAAAATTTGTCCTATGTCTTTTGTCACCACATGAATTTGCTGTATTTGCTTAATGTGATTTTTTTCTAATGACAAAGTTTGGATTATAGTTTGATGTCGTTAATGGTCCTTGTTGTTTCAGGAAAAGCTGGTATGCCAAACACAATGGACCACCGGTCTACGTTGGAGGCCTCTGGTGAGGCAGGGGCCATGCCTCCGTATCATCAGATGACAGCTCCTTTGTATGACGGGGCGGCAGTTTATGGCCCAGAGGGTGACATGACCAGACCCTACATGGGTGCTCCCCCTGTTATCAACTACATGATCCCTTCTGGTGCAGCTCAGGGGTCTGCGATGGGGAATCCAATGGGTCGACCTCCCAGTGTGGGTAGCTATCCACAGGTGATGCCCACCCAGAGCAACCCAGGCAGCACCATGTACCCCCCTGTAGCACAGCAGAAGGGCTACCCTGGCAGCATGGAGCAGCATGGGCCCATGATGAGTTACAACATCCCAGGCCAGCCTCTGCAGCTCCCGCCACAGCCACCAGCGGGCCCCGTCCCAGCTCCACACTATGACTACGGCCATTCAAGGCACAACATGATGGAGCCTTCAGTTTATGGAGTCAAGAGGACCCCTTCTTTTCAAAGCAAAATGCAACCGCCACCCCCAATGGCTCCTCCAGACAACTACGTCAGCATGCAGGGGAAAGGGGGAATGGGTCAGAATGGGCCAGGAGGAGGATACCCTCCTAACCTTTACCTTCCTTCTCACTCCCACCCTCGACAGGCCAGCCCCACCTCCCAYCAGGTCCACATGATCTCCCGCTCCCCTGCTGGGGTGGCAGCCATGGGCCCTGACTTTTCAGATCTGCCTCAGGGGTTGATGACACCCTCCAGGGCCAGCCTCAACCTGGACCTGTATGACCACCACTGGGCAAGCCCTCCCGGTCCCGAAGGCGCCCCTCCAGCAAGGCAACCCCAGCCCCAGGGTCCGTTCAGAGGCGAGGTGCGTGTACCTAGCAGAACAAACTCCTTTAACAGTCGTTCTGCAGGTCCAAATGGTGTCCGACCCACGATGGCTGCACCCCCTACAGCCGGGAAACAGGAGTCCTCTCTGGGCCCACCAAACACCATCACAGCTGTAACCTCCCCACCCATCCAACAGCCTGTCAAGAGCATCCGAGTGATGAGGCCAGAGCCTAAGACTGCTGTGGGACCGTGTCACCCTGGCTGGATGACTGCTCAGACACAGGATGTAACAGAACCTCTGGCCTATATGCCAGAGGAGACTTACCCACTGGAGTCTGCACAGGAGCCACGCTGTCCTCCACCACCTTACCCCAAAAATCTGCTCATGCCTGGAGCAGGTGGAGAACCAGGGGTGCTGGAGGGCGCCGGAGCACTCTGTGGTGCTTCGGACCTCAGCAGCCCTGCTGCCAGAAACTCACAYGGTGGCAGCGGGGGGAGCGGAAAGGCCGAGGACAACCAGCAGGTGAAGGAGAAGACAAAGATGGGCAAGGGAGAAAAAGTGGTGAAGGACAAGAAGCAGATCCAGACGTCACCTGTGCCTGTGAGGAAAAATGGGCGAGATGAAGAAAAGAGGGAGTCCCGCATCAAATCCTACTCTCCTTTCGCCTTCAAATTTTATATGGAGCAGCACATAGAGAATGTGATGAAGACCTACCAGCAGAAACTCAACCGCAGGCTTCAGCTGGAGCAGGAGATGTCCAAAGTAAGATTGCAAATATTTGTAGCACTCCCCCTGCTCAGTACCTGCTGAGATCATAAAGAGTTGATCATTTTTTTAACCTAATCAGTTTTCTATTTTCTGTTAGTAGTAAGTGGAAAAAAAACAAGTGTTCAAATTATTATAGAAAGCATAGCTTGTCCATTGTTTTTGTATCAAAATGATTGAAAAATATATTTAGATAAAGGAAAAAAAACAKTCACACCTAAAAGGATTGAGTTCATTTTGACGACACAGTGTTTTCAAGCAGTTTCTCAGATTTTTTTTCCTGTTGTTTTTTTTTATTTTTCTGCCCAGGCTGGCCTGTCGAAAGGAGAGCAGGAACAGATGAGGAAGATGTTGAACCAAAAGGAGTCCAACTACAACAGGCTGCGCCGCGCCAAAATGGACAAATCCATGTTTGTCAAAATCAAGACTCTTGGCATAGGTGCTTTTGGGGAAGTGTGCCTAACACGTAAAGTCGACACCGGAGCACTTTATGCCATGAAAACTCTGCGCAAGAAAGATGTCCTCAACCGCAACCAGGTGATTGATTATGTTTACCTCTTGTTTACCAGTTACATTGAGGCTTTTTTCACTTTTGTAGTTGGAGTGTTTCTCAAACATTCTTTTTGTGGATGCTGCCAATGAAGCAATAACAAGAACCTTTTAAACGAGTGTTTCTGATGCAGGTAGCACATGTGAAAGCAGAGCGGGACATCCTGGCTGAGGCAGACAACGAGTGGGTGGTGCGTCTCTACTATTCTTTCCAGGACCGAGACAGCCTCTACTTTGTTATGGACTACATCCCTGGGGGAGACATGATGAGCCTGCTCATCCGAATGGGGGTCTTCCCCGAACCTCTGGCTCGTTTCTAYGTGGCTGAGCTGACGCTGGCCATCGAGAGCGTCCATAAGATGGGCTTCATCCACCGAGACATCAAGCCAGACAACATCCTCATTGACCTGGACGGGCACATCAAGCTGACGGACTTCGGTCTGTGTACAGGCTTCCGCTGGACTCACAACTCCAAGTACTACCAGAAAGGTGAGGCTTTTTGGCCTTATGTTCTACGCATTCAGARGTWAAGGARCTCTGAAGTGACAAAAATGAAATGACCATGCAGGTGAACTATGATCTGCAGTTACAAGCTGTAGACCAGAGGTGCTCAAAGTGGGGTCCGCGGGCCAAAATTGGCCCGCCACGCCATTTGATTTGGCCCACCAGCAGTTGTCCTGGTTATTAGATTGTAATCTCCTGTCCTATGTAGAAACACTATATTTCCACTTTTCAACCATTGGTCCAACTATAGGTACAAGGAGCTGAAGTGAGATAGTCTAAACTCATGGTACTCACTTTATATTTGAATTATGTTAAGATTAAACATAAAATACAAGTAACTACAAGAGACATTTAGATTAGATTTAAGCCCACATCTAGATTTACGGTACACATTTCTAAGACCACATATACTCAAATTTTAATTTATGAAAAGTCCCATGAGCCTTTACTGCCCAAGCACATGTTGAATTTTCCCATTATTGTCATTAGTGATTATCTCAATTTCGGCCAAAAGAATTGACAAAATCCCACACACTGTGCCTTTAAGAAGTATTTGCATTTCATGTAGTATGTTACTGCATTTGGCCCACGGCCCTCCGATCGATCTTAATTTTGGCCGTCTCAGGGAAAATGTTTTTTGTTTTTGGCCCTTTCGGGGAAAATGTTTGGGCACCCCTGCTGTAGACAGATATTCTTGTCTGATCACACTGTGAATTGTTCGTCTAAGAAGTCTATTTATTAATTTTTTTTTATTTTACCGTTATTTAACCAGGCGAATCCCAATGATTTCACAGATCTCTTTTGCAAGGGAGACCTGGGCCTAAAGGCAACCTATTGTATATGTTTTTGTACTGTGGGAAAAACCGGAGTGCYCGGAGAAAACCCACGCATTCACTACGAGAACATGCAAACTCAGCTCAGAAAGACCCCAGGTCTGAAATGGGGATTGAACCCAGGACCTTGTTGCTGTGAGGCGTCGGTACTAACCCCTGAGCCATCAGGCTGTCCCATGTTTTAAGTTGATTTAGTCAAACTGTGTTTTCTCTGTGTTTACCATCATCAGGAAGTCATGTTCGACAGGACAGCATGGAGCCCAGCGACTTCTGGGATGATGTGTCCAACTGTCGCTGCGGCGACCGGCTGATGACCCTGGAGCAACGCGCCCACCGCCAGCACCAGCGCTGCCTGGCCCATTCATTGGTGGGAACGCCTAATTACATCGCACCCGAGGTTCTGCTGCGCAAAGGTCGGTCCAGAGGATAGGGACGAATGCTTCAGATACAGACTTGTTAAAAAGAAAATTATACTTACTTTTGAAATGCTGATAATATTTAAATTTCTTACATTTGGGATAAATGGAAACTGTTGCTTCTGTGCAGTTCATAAAATTATTGGATTTTTAAACATTAAAAGCCGTATTTTATTACAAATGGTTGCTCCAAAGTAGAATGTTTGACTTAATAAAAGCTAGAACTGGACTGTTTATTTGTTTAAAAACGATCCCCTTTAACAGATTCTGATTGTGTGCTTTGTGTGTAGGTTATACTCAGTTGTGTGACTGGTGGAGTGTGGGAGTGATTCTTTTTGAGATGCTGGTGGGACAGCCACCTTTCCTCGCTCCGACTCCTACAGAGACTCAGATCAAGGTCAGTGAACAAATACAGATTATTTATTCATTTACATTTGAAATAATTACACATTAAAGAACTGTTGGGTTGTTACTTCAGAGGATCAGGATTTTTCAGCGGGGAATATCTGATAATGCTGCTGATGTGTCGGACACAGAACCAGTACCTGGCTTTTGCCTTCCAGTACCCTGTCATGGTTCTGATTTCTGTCTCATCAGTGAACTAAAACAAAGGGAAGTGAAATGTTTGGAACATATTAACGCAACAGCTTTTAACAGTAAAGTACCTCAAAGTGATACGTGAGTAAAAGTACAAGTATCTTATCATAAAAATACTTTGGTAAAAGTGAGTCTTCTCTAAAAATGTCACTTGATTAAAAGTCTTAAAGTGTCTGATATTTTTGTACTTAAGTGTAGAGGTAAGATCTACATCTTCTCATAAGTAAGTTATGAGGAAAATCACGAGATCTGTTTTATTAATAATACCTTTTCTGTGGAATTATGAAAGAACCACACAATGAGTGAATGTACTCAGTAACTTAGTTTTATCTAAAATAAATGATATTTATTTACAGAATAAAATGAATCACTTATG